CACATCGTTGGAGTGGCGTGTGAATTCCTTTACGTATCCCTCAGCCCTCATCTCCTGCCCTCTGCTGACCCTGTATCCCGCCCACACCTCTGTCATGCTCATCTGTAAGTCAAACAGCCCCAGAATCAGATGTGAAACAAAGCACAATTTCAGATTTACAAGGCATGAATTGAAATTCTAAATGTCTACATGAACAGACGTCTAGAATTCTTTAAATTTATGGTGCATAATGATGACTTACCTATGTGTATTTTATAGAATAAATAGACTGGAGTGTCCCAGACACATGTGTTAGGTGAGACCAGCTCCCTACTCGTACCTGCATGAGGAAAAAAAACAAGACACATTCACTTGATGCACTTTATCATAAGTAATTAAGCTTTTCTATTAACATTATACCAGATATCAAGGGTTGCAGAGAGCTCAGCACAACATTAAATGTCATGACAAATGTTTTATAGTTACAGAAGAGAGCTCAGCACAACATTAAATGTCACTAAACACTTTAAATCATTCTCATCACACAAAATCTGTCTCAAACATAAATATTTCTAGGAATAGTCAATCCAAGCAGTTATCAGACAGCCCATAAAAACAATCATGAGAAAAATATTTTCCAACTCACCCCGACCAGCAGGGACGAGAACTAACGTGCACTGCACTGACGTCAAATCCTTTTGACTCAGCGTTCAGTCCTCAGTCAAAGACGTGGAGCAGGGCCTCACCCACAGCCTCTGCTGGCTCTGAGCAGCACTGAGAGAGGAGGCTGAAGGGAGGGAACTCTTTATAATGTCGTGCAGGAAGCCTCCATACAAGCAGAGATGCTCGTTTCCTCTTTCCTCCATGGCCCACGCGTATACCGGAAGCAGCGCAGGAAGAGCCCTGGCCCAAGTATTTTTAGTGGGCTCTTAGTTTTTCTAAACCCCCATAGCTTTGAGCAAAGTAATGGCAGGAAAGTGTAGTGTGTTTGTCTGTCATGTTGAAAAAATATATATGAAGACCCAGGGGAGGTGTGGTACGTGCCTGGTTATCCAGGTTAAGCCAGAGAGCATCAGGTTTCCCCCACCAACGCTTTCCTACGTTTCACCCCTGTCCAGGAGAGAGGAAACTGTCTGTGAGGAAGCTGGAAGATCAACTTATTGTTGGATAAAGAAGCTTTGTGCTCATCTAATAAAGGGAGTACTTTTATTATTCCTAGTTTTACTCATGTTTCAGAGAATGATTTTCCTTACTCTCAGATATTATTTAGACATACAAGAAGCAAAGGTTTTCAGAGAGAAACTTTGTCCTTTCCAAGTTGACTAGATCAGGTAAACAGGCATTAACAGTGCTCAACAACAGTGTCCGGAAGCTCCTGGCTTGCTGCCTGAAACCAGAGGCGTTGTGCTGTGAGGAAGACGCACAACATGGATCACGCTAGATGGGAGACACCCTCTCCTGATGCTAAAAAACAAGCCTTACCCCATCCCTACTCAGAGAAATGAAGCCGACAGATGTGCAGGAACTGACCTACAACACCCCCCCCACACACAAACACACACACACTTTGAATGCATCCTGCAAAGCTGCTCAGAGACACAAATGAAAACGCCTGTGCAGGACATCCGTCAATAATAAAGCAAGCAGGAGACAAGGCAAGTGAAATGGAGATGGAGGGGCCTTATGGAGCAGGAGATAAGGGCACAGAGGTCACAATTAACTAAAGAACAAGCGGAAAGTTACTTCATTCTGAGCATAACCGTGGGTTCACAGAGAGCCAGGCACGGGGCAGTTAATTGGGACACCACCAAAGTGAACTATGAACTGCATTTCCCTCACATCAAAGAACAATATTTCACAGAAGGAGACCTTGAAGAAAGAGGAGAGAAATCTTCAAGACTGACTGAAGATATGTCCTGCTGCTGGGGCTGCATGTTCATGCACATGATAAAAGTGAGTGCTACAATCCATTCACCTACCATGAAAGAAAGGTGGAATTCCTTATGTGAGTTTGAACTGCCACTCAAAGCATTTCCTTCTACAGTGTACACCAGTGTGTACAGTTGAAAAATGACTTCATATACTAATGCATATTTTTGTCTTTTATGTGTTTTGTGCACTGCCAAAGGCCCCCACCCGACACTGGAGCAAGATCACCAGACTGAAAGAAGAGCTTGTGCCTCTTTTTAGTTGTTTTCCATCTGGCAGTTCGGCACCTACAGTTTATTGTTTTGTGTTTTTTTGTAGTAATTTTGTATCTATATTTAGCTATGGCCCTTTGTTTTGTGACTCCTTTTGGTTGTTTCTCATTTCCTTTTAGTTATTTTGTATCACTTTGTGGTTATTTTTGTCTATGTTTTACTTTTTTTTGTCTGTGAGGTTGGTCTGCATGTCCTTGTGTTAATGTTGCATTTCTCTGGGGCTGGTTTTGCATATATTCATGAATGTGGTGTAAAACATTTTACTAAAAACGGTTGCTGGCTAGACCCAGACATACCTGACTACAGACTGAATTAGATTTTTTGAGCTGTTACATGCAAAATAATGAAATGTCATTTATAAAACAGTTTTTTTGAAAAGCGAGTGAGTCGAATATGAAATAAATATCAGACCATGTTTGGATATAAATCCTTTGAAAATGTGAATAGGAAGTAAAATGTTTGCAAGGAGTGTAGAGTGAGTGTCCATGTCCTTGTGCTATTATTTGTTTGGATGGGGGTTGGATCAGTTGTGTGCTTTGTTAAAAGAACAAAAAATAAATAAATAAAGAAAGAAAAACCATAAAGGAAAACAGCTATTAGGAAAACAATGAGGGAGATATAGGTCTCGGCTACTTCCAGGCATTGTGAGAAAAACGGATGAGGGGGGCGGTTGAGGAAAAGTGAGAACATTACTAAACAGGTTGACCAATGGGCGGAAGCCATTGAGTCTGTGCCATTGGCAAGGCAGGGCAACGCTCATAGTGGCTTCCTGCATCTTGGCTGGTCCATCAGCGCCCATCAGCGACCCACTGGCCCTGTTTGTAATAAAATGCAGAGCTGGGACTTTTCATCATCAGACTGAAGACTGATGAACTTTTTGCAAATGTAAAGTGAACCGCAAAGTCAGTTCTTTGAAACTTCATGAACAGATTTTCAACATCTGTTTAACTGCTGTTGCTCCTCGTCAAATAGGACAAAGGCAGGGATTCCCCTTGTTTTGCAGTTTCCTGGTTGCCTGGACAGATTTATATTGTTTTTCTGATAATAGATGGACTGAAGCCATGCTTTGACTTCAGATCTTCCAGGTGGTGCCAAAGTGTTGATGGCTCATGCAACAATAACAGATCTGCTGCGTCTTCCTGTGACTGCAGAGCACTGTGGACATATAAGGGCAAACATTGGAGAGCTGCTTGGAGGAGGAAGCGGGGATATCCCTAGGAGCAGCTTCAGGTTGTTTGTCCATCTATTGGCAGATATAGACTGGAAAATAAAAAGTAATGAAGCTCTTCCTTTGGAGAAGAGTCTTGGGGAAAAACAGTGGCCCTCTGACATGGTGCTGGGCGGAGTGGGGGGAAGGATAAGAATACAGAGCGTGGGGGTAACGGGAGAGAGATGGTTGACCCAGATCTTATGAACCACAAAATAATAACACAACCCGTTGACCGCAGCTGCGAAATATCCCACAGAGACACAAAACATCTACAAATATATGCAAAGTGCCCTCAAAAAGGTACAAATGGCCACAAAAAATACAAAAGAAACACAAAATCACCACAAAAAGACAAAAGCTATCCCCAAAGACACACTAAACAACTGCAAAAAGATTAAAATATCTTTAAAGACATTCTCTTTTGGTCTTGGGTTTTGCTTCTGGGTGGGGGGCCTTTATACATCTGTGCCCAGGGGCCCATTGTGTCATAATCCATCTATGATTTCAGTTGCACTTCCAGTTGGTGTTTTTTATTTTAATATTTGCAGTGGCCTTTTTTAACTTTAAAGACTGTTTGTTTGTCAGCATAAAATTGTTTTTCCTTCAGAAATCTGCATTTATGTTATAGGTTATGTTATGTTATGTTATATTTTGTAGCCTATTTTTACTTTGAAAAATGTATGGTATGTGACAGACCTCCTGCCTCCTTTCACACATGCCCGCGTACGCACAGCGCAGTTACGTCATACGTCGGGAAGCCAGTGAGAAGTAGCTGCTGCTGCTGCTAAAGGCCTCAGGATCCGTGACACAGTAGGTTAACGGCCTAAAGCTGGAAGAAAGTTATTTCAGGATAAGATTCATTGATCTCTGGCCATTTAAACGAAGACTAGGTTGTGTATATGTGGTTCGGTTCAGGTGGTAGGTCGCGATTATTTCGTTGTTTCCTCATCGGTTGTTCGCCTGGAGGCAAGGCTCGAGCTTCAAAACAGCCTAGCAGACAAGTAAACAAGACTGATATTAAAGTTATTTACTGTTAATTATCCTTCATTGGGTTTGCTATATCACTTTATTATTACGTTTTACACATATATGACGCACAAAGGACAGATTTAGACGAACAACAGGACAGCTACTTTATCCATATGAGATGTTAATGTTGCTATGTTAAAGTAGCTAATATTGCCGTTATAAATAAGAGGATATAGCTAATGTGACTATAATGTGCTGTAACGGTTTCATTTTAATGTTTGTTGTCTTTTTTTATCTTTAGATGAGACCGAAGGAAAGTGTAAAGGTGCTTTGAAAGGTAGGAACTGTTAATACCGTCAGGTTTAATATCTTTTATTTCTAATCCATACTGGCTAATGTTTTTTTTCTGTTTTGCTACATGTATCTGGCATCGCTGCATCGAGCTAGATTGTGTTAAAAATGTTCCAGAGCTTTTGCCTTCAAAATAAAACCGTGAAACTGCCTAGGAATACTAATATAGATACATATTTGAGCTTTGTGTTTTAAATAACATAAAGGTTCACTGATGGATTTAAAATAGAGAGCGATAAAACTGTGGCGATTAACTTCCTGACCCAGCCATCCTGTGATTTGGGTGTTTGCTCATCCTGGTTCAGATGGGGTCTGTAGTGGCAGGGGGGGGGGGGGGGACCCTTTTAGTCAGTTAATGCCAGTTTAATCCTTGCTCACACTGCATACTTTACTAGTAACTGCAACAATGGCATGAGTAGAAAAATAAAAGAAAGAAACAAAAGGCTTAATTCCCAAGATCAAGCCTTTGTATTTTTGTATGGCTGCATCATCCTCTCATCTGTCATTATAATCCTCTTGCCAACAGGGGCTTATGACAGTCACACGACCCATGTACAATCAGTCTGAGTGGACATACCCTCTCCGCTCTGATAGTACTGGTTTACTATAGCTTGTCTTTGTGTTTGCTGTCCATTTAGGCATAGTTTCAGTTGCACAGTGGCTTTTTAAAAAGTTCAAAATAATATGCATAAACTTGATTCTTTTATGCATGGAGTCTTACTTATAATGATTCAAATTGTATTTTTAGTAAATCGGTCCTGTACTGACAGATGTCCATCAGAGGTTCCCAGAGCACAAAGTGGTGTCTTAAAGTTTCTTAGGGGGACCGGAGTTGTATTCAATTTATAAAGATAAGCAGGTAGTGTGTGGTTCCCTGCATTTGTAAAGCTGTGAAGAGCAACTTTTGTTTGTTGGATGTTTGTTCCTCCATAAATGCATAAAATGATTAATCCATGAAAACATTTTTTTAAATTAATTCTCAGATATTGAATTCCCTTTGGAGGATCGCCCTGACCCATATTCTTATTTTACTTATTAGACCATTTCTGATATAAAAACATATATTATTTCTTAAATGAGATTGGTATCCTGAAGGCCGTCAGGTGCAAGTCAGCACTTGGTCAGCTCAGTTGTGTACTCCAGCGTTAATATTTGTCCTGCAGAGAACACATAATATATTGTTATGAGCCAGGTGTTCATGTGTATACAGATACATATCACTACACAACATTTCCTGCCTTGTTTTTCTGTCTGCTTTAAGTGGAAATCAATGATACTGGTGTGTAAACACCCAAAGACAATAACCATTGTGGAGGCAAGGGATAGTAACAGATTTGCACCTGTTTGTGTATCTATAAGTGTGTGTACATGCGTGCTGGAGATTTTTTCCGGGAGTGTTTGTGTCTCATAGTATTAAAAAAAAAAAAAAAACCACACACTCACACACGTTTTGGAGCAACATGCAAGCTTGCTGGAAATCCCCGAGCCTTTTCGAATGCCTGCTTTCTTCCTGCTCATGAACTAGAAGCTTATTGTTTAGTCCATGTTGCTGTTGCCATAGGAAACAAAGTGTGCAGCATCCCTCAGTTTCCACTGGTTACCTGGGACACATATACACAACAGTAACAGCTGTGTTCATGAAAATATGTCTGAAAGTGGGAACCATAACCATGTACACTCACTGAACTGGTCAGCTAAAGCAAAGGTATATGTATGCCACTGATTTGCATTTAGGATTGCACTGCACTATTACAGAATTACATGCGGGCAGTATTTTACAAAATAATCTTCATTAACTGAACACCATGAAAGAAACCTTTTCCTTCTGGTTTTCCACCTCAGAAGCCCGCCATGTCTGGTCCCACCTGGCTTCCACCGAGGACTCTGGATAGCCCAGAACGAGCCGTCCCCCAGATGTCTCACCCTGCCGGGTCAACAATCTACCAAGCTGTCAACAAGAAGACTGTGTCTGACTTTCGGACGAAATATACCCCCTATGACCAGAATGGAGGAGGAGCTATGGCCAACAGGTACAAGGCTGCTGCACCCACAGGTAAGACCATGCCACTTGTCTCTTACTGGAGTCAGGGAGTGGGGTAATTTATAAGAAAAGTATATTTTAGGATGTGTAAATAGTACAAACAGCCAACCAGTTACTTTACTCCCAAATTTAAAAGTATACAATTTCAGACATTAAAGATGCATTAACTACGATTTTACCTGCTGTCTGATAAATCCAGCTATATTACAGTCTGCTGCCTACAGCCCTTCTGTTGTTATTCCAGCTTCTCTACCCTGTGTTGTCAAAGTACAGTCTGTGAATTTGCCCCATCTACCCCTTATTTCAAACATCCAGCCATGGAGGAGCTCTCAGTAGATGGATTCCTTCTCCAGAGTTACCACATCTCTGAAGTATAATATGTGCAGCTTTTGAAAACTTTACTCTCTTGCTTTACTCATATACAATATATTTACACATCAGGTTCCTTATCACAGCTTGAAATGTGGGTACAGTTACTACCTCTGTGTGAACAGGTGACTGGCACTGTAAAATCTTGGCACATGCAGTAACATTTCACATGGCAGCATTAGCTGGAACTGTAACTCTACCTACTGATCTTTTTATAACTGCGCCAAAGAGGAACCATGCACAGTCTCACAGTAAGCCCTGCACAGGCAGCCATTACTATTTTAGGGGAACTGTGAAGTAAATATGTTCCGCAAACGTTTTTCAGGTGGAACAATAAAACCTGTGGAAAGTTTTCTAAATCTTATCTTGAGAGTAAAAGTTAGTCTTCCAAAGTCTTTTTAATATAAAATTCCCTCCTGAAGTTTTCAGTGTTTCCCTGCTGAGCTGCAGTGGAGGGATAATGCAAAGAGGGATTTCCTTCAAGGCCCTTTTTGCATTACTAATCTGAAGCCTCATATTAGTTCTGCTTATGGAATTATTATTTTTTACACAGAATGAGGACTGCATATGTTCTCCCTCTTCACTTCTGAACTGAATTGAATTCATTTTGTTTTCAGATAGACTTAAAAGAATACAAAGCTCTCATTTAAAAGAAGACCTGCCTTCTGATGTTGTTTCTAAAAAGAATTACATATCTGTTAAACATTAGGATGGTGCTTGATGAGTCTGGAACAAATATTTGCAATGTGTGTTCTCCAAACAATAGGTGGACCCATTCACCATTCATCTGGTGACCACTATGGTCCCAAAGAAGACCGTAACTGGAGCCCTCATATGGACAGCTACGAGCTGATGGTGGGTGCATTTTCAGCTCTGTGTTATGTGCTTAACCCTCATGTTATGTTGCGGGTCAAATTGACCCACGAACATAACTGCTCCTCCTGTTATGTTCATTTCTCAGGTGATGCCTGCTCAGCAGTTATGTTCGTGGGTCAATTTGACCCGCAACATAACAGGAGGGTTAAATTTGGACCATGAAGCTACTGGGAAATGGGGGAAGCACTACACGCAGTTCTTAAGTACTAACATATTCCTTATGCTGCTCTGTTGTTAGCATCGTGGTCCTGAAAACCCAGCGGGCTATCACTCCAAAATCGATTCCGATATTGACTCCCTGACCAGTATGCTTGCTGATCTCGACAGCCACCCAGAGGACTCCAGCACACAAGTAACTTTATTGAAACTAAATGGAATGTTTTCTTCATCACATGGTCGACCTGAACTTTTGACTTCTTAATCGCTTCAAAAGCGCTATGTGGTTATTTCATTTGATCATTTTTCTGTCTCTTCACAGCTGTACGACAATGTGCCTTACAACAAATACCTCTCAGGGGATCACTACAAATCTGCATACCAGAGCAAAACCCCTCCTCAGGGTCGGCCATCCATGAGCTACCCCCCTCACCCAGAGAGCCAGTACCACCCAGCACCCCCTTACCCTAGTGAGCATCAGACGTCTCAGTACTCCACCTCCCACCAGCAGGACTACTACTCCTCCTCTTCAACCACTAAACCCTACCCTCAGCCCGTCCCAGCCTCCTATACCACTGCCTCAACTCCCACCGGGCCCAGGTTCAGCGTCCAGGTCAAGACAGCACAGCCTGTCACCTACTCACAGACAGGGAGGCAGGCTGAACAGGCCTACACCCCACCCCCTCCTCGCCAGCATGTGTCACGTCCACCACCACGGACTCAGACAAACCCGCAGGTTTGGTACCCAACGCACTCAAGTTCACAAGCTCAGGAGACGCACGCTGAGGTGGGGTACAAGGGGAGCGGCTCAGGCTCTGGAGGCAGAGCCAGCCAGGTCTCGGTGTCTAAGAGAGGGATGGAAAGTAACCCAGCGGGGTCAGGAGCTGCACAGAGTCCTGCTTATCAGTCTAGTAAGGTAGGGCACAGTTTCACATCTTTGGTCTGTGTAAGAGCTTTATGTGAAACTGAAGCATTGTGGAAAGTGAGGGAGAGTAGTTACACCTACTTTAAATCTGTATATTCATAAAATATCTTCCTTCAGTGTCTAAATGCTCTTGGCTCTTATTATACGTGTCATTATCAAAAGATAATGAATCCTGAAGAGCTTGTCCCAGAAGGGATGATTCCTGGTCTTTCCTAGTTACATAAGTGACTCATGTACCTTCTTCTGTCAGCAGGTGACGGCAACAACAAGGCCTGAGGAGGAGCTGGATCGACTCACCAAGAAGTTGGTATATGATATGAACCATCCTCCTGCAGAGGACTACTTTGGTATATTGATGGCATTAATGTCCAAATCATACCTGGCGTTTTAATACAAACGTGCCTTTAGCTGCTTCACTTGAATATGACTGTGATAGTGTTCCTCTGTCAGGTCGCTGTGCGCGCTGTGGTGACAACGTGGTCGGTGACGGCAGTGGCTGTATCGCCATGGAGCAGGTGTTTCACGTGGAGTGTTTCACCTGTATCACTTGCCACGCCCGTCTCCGAGGGCAGCCTTTCTACGCCCTGGACAAGAAGAGTTACTGCGAGAGCTGTTACATTGTAAGAAACCGAGAGTGACACCTTATTTTGTTTCTGCATTGTTGGTCAGCCCTGCTCTGACCAACACATCTGCTTCTGCGTCTCTCGTTAGAGTACACTAGAGCGCTGTTCAAAGTGTTCCAAGCCCATCCTGGACCGGATCCTGCGGGCCATGGGAAAGGCCTACCATCCCCGCTGTTTCACATGTGTGGTTTGTAACTGCTGCTTGGATGGGGTGCCCTTCACTGTGGATGCCACCTCTCAGATACACTGCATAGATGACTTTCACAGGTACAAGCACGTGCACACGCAACATGCTTGTTGGGATAAACGTTTCATTTTGAGCTACAGCTCAAAGAAAGTGGCTCTCTTTCAACTGACTGTAAATTCTGGTGCATGTTTTGTCTGGCAGGAAGTACGCGCCTCGCTGCTCAGTGTGCGGTGAGCCCATCATGCCCGAACCGGGCCAGGAGGAGACCGTCAGGATCGTGGCTCTGGATCGTAGCTTCCATGTCAACTGTTACATTTGTGAGGTGAGTCGGCTTCTTCAGTTGAACCTGTCAGGGACAAGAAAAGGATCAGTCTTAATTGACAAAGAATGGACAAAAACATTAAATATGTGTAATTTATATTCAAAAATTTCTGGTTTTAACACCAAGTAATTTGTGCAAAATCTGCAGTAAGTATTTAAATGGCTTAGAGTGGTTCCAAACTGATTGAGCCAAAATTGGGGGAATTTTGAACAGGCAGTTTGTGCATGTATTCAGTTGAACTGACTGAAGTGTGTACCCTATCAGGAATGTGGTCTGCTGCTGTCGTCTGAAGGAGAGGGTCGAGGCTGTTATCCACTAGATGGCCACATCTTGTGTAAGAGCTGCAGTGCTCGCCGCATCCAGGACCTCTCAGCCAAAATCTCCACTGACTGCTAACAAACCTCCTGTGTTGCTCTGCCTTTTCAGCCACCTCACTCTCACACATCCATGGACACTCCACATGTTGCACATGACTTAAGGCACAAGTGAACTACTGTACTATTTGATCATGACATGGCAAGCATTGCTATAGCCCCCCCTGCTGGTCTGCAGCTGCAGTTTCACTTGCAGATTAGCATTTTTACGGATACTGTCTCAAACAAGAAGGTTGTGATGGCGCAAACCAAACCACCTCACTCATTTCTTTTATTCATATGTCCAAATACATTTTCTTTCTTGTTTTGGGACACAACTGCCCCATTTTTTCATGTCTGGTTCAGTGTTATTAAGACAGTGGCCTGACCTGCAGGCAGCTTGGGCTCCACTGCCCATTTATTCTCTCTGGTACTGCTCGCACATCGCTATCACCTGGACTGTCACTGATGAAAACGTGGATGATTATCACAAATTGAGACCTGACTCTGAGGAGGTTTGCACAGAACGGTACATGTCTAACACACTAAGTGCAGAACTGCCTCAAAATGAACATTCAAAGCACAAAAAGCAACAGCTGTGACTGTACACGGGGCTGGTTTGGTCTGGACAGCATGTAAAGTGCAGTGAAGCGTCCTCATAGAAATGTAGACGAAAGGAATGTGTAGTTGACTTTTCTTCTTTAGCTTTAATCGATTGCTAGTTTCTCATCATCCAAACATTAGATCATGTTTAGTTGAAGTGATTTTTTTTTTTTTTTTGCCATTTTAATCATTCAGAATTACATTTTTGAATCTGTATAAAACACAGTCTTGCTTTGGTTTTGTTTAATGTGTTGTTTGGTTGATGTTTGTTACATTGAAGATGATGGTGCAATGAAGTCAAACGCTTTCTTCTCTCTAAAGGAAAACAGGGTGTTACTGACTTAGGGGCTTGAAAACATCCAACTGTGTGAAGCTCGATTTAAAACTATATTGCTAACTTTATTTACTTGACAAATACTTTTACAAACAGATTACTCTTTGCATTAGAAGTCATAAATATTGATGTTAATGCAATGTTGTCTTCCCCCTAAACTGTAGTTGTACGGATTACAGCTGTTCATGGGTGGAGCTTAGTTTTGCTCGTCCTTGCACTTGTGGGCCAACTTGTCATATTCTGCAGTATTTGTTATGATTATGTTTGACCTCTGTCTTTCTGTCCTGACTGTGTATATTTGCAAGTTAAAGGGCTAGAAATTTAAAAACCTGACCTCAAGGTTGTCATTCACTTTCATTATGATCCTTTCTTCTAGCTGTAAATTCTGCTTGTTTTAGCAGAACTTCACCATGCTAAAGTCACATCATATTTGTACTATATTAGCATTAATCTACTTTTTAATCATCATACTAATTTCATTAATGTGTATCTGTGTCATTTTAACACCCTGAATCATGATGGCTTTTGTCATGCTTCTTGAATCACATCATTTCGTCGCCCATTTGTCCTTATTCTGTGTTCATTGTGAAATTCTGTGAACTGGAGCTTGTAGATCAGAACCCATGGTGCAGACTTTAATCCGTTGATGATGAGTTCACACTGAGTAGAAGGAAACCCAAAGTACCCAGTAAACATGTCGTTGAAGTCGAAATGATTGCATAAATGACAGAGTGCTTGAACCCAAGGGTGGATTGTCTGCTTTTTGTTGTAGTAACATAACTGATTATTAAAACTTCAGCAAGTTCATCAGTGTTTGTCACTTTTCATAAAATTACTGTCATGTTCAAAACTTAAATAGGTAAAATCGCCATTTTTGTCCATCAGTCTACACTCGATAACCCATAATGACAAAGTGAAAGCATGTTTTTAGAAATTATGGGAGATTTATTCAACTCAAAGACTGAAATCTTTCTAATTATTGAGACCCTTTGCTTTGGCACACATTACCTGAGCTCCCTGACTATTGTCTACCTGTGGCAAACTGAACTGGTTGGACAAAGTGTATGGGTCGTTAATCATGACTTGACTTGACCAGTGAGTGGAGGGTCCAGTCGGTTGGAGTGAGAGAGGAGTCCAACAATGTGATGTTCACACTAATCACACCTCCATATCTGCTGCTCCACAATATGAAATAGTATCAAAACAGCTTGTTAGGGTAATTAAAAATCTTTAAGGTAGTGAGTCAAAGATTTCCGGAACCACAGAGTTACATTTCTCTGCCAGGTAATATATCGAGCATCTGCCCACAGCAGGGACCTTAATGTAAATCATGGCCCTAACCACAACAAAAACATTCATGCTTGAAGTCATGCATACGAATAATACAATATTATAGTAGCATGTGCATCAATGCAGATGCATGAGTGAAATTATGCAGGAGAGAAAGTAAACCTCAGTAAACATTTCATTCAAAGACATGGGCCATGGCTGTATAAAGGTTTTGCTCAGAGGTATTTCCTTCTGTAATTTAATGGAGCGCTGACATTTTCAAGCAGAATTCGCACATTGCTAGTGTCATAATCAGAGCCAATCAGCATTTTTTAGATATTTTTGCTTTCACTGGTTCAGAATTAGCAAAAATTGACTATTTTTGTTTGGAAGGATTTTTGGTTGTAAACCAGTGTAGGCCTAATCATTCTGTCACTGCCACAATGTTTGTAATGTCTGCTTATTAATCTAATAGGCACATGGCACTAGTTAAATAAGAGTTGGAGAAAAGCTGTTAACTGTGTCCTAGCATAATCTTCATACTCAGGTTAACATGTTGACAACTCTGCTGCACCAGAGGTGAACACACGGTGTATTTACGCAGTTTGGCCTCTAGGTGTCACTAACACCACACTGCTCCTCGCATCAAAACACAACAGTTTCACAAATGCGCCAAAAATATTAGCGAATTTTGATCATTCACATTGAGGTTAATAGTAAACTAGCATAGTCGCCACAGACATAGTTTATTTAGAAAGACAAGACAACAAAAACGCATGTTTGTGCTAATTAGGCCCTCGATTATTGCAAAACAGCTCAGGGGATGTAGGGTACAGAGCACGCTTTAGGTTTTTAGAGAGTACCGGTAGGTAGGTAGGGGTCGTTCTTAGCTACACTCCAGTCCAGCAGGTGGTGGTAATGCACCTAAAGTAGTTTGCCAAAGAAGAAGAATTAGTCCCGCAATTAGCAGGTGAGTCTGTCCAAAGGGTGGCACTTCCGGAGGTAAACACGGCTGGCAGCTTTCAAATGGACTAGGGCTTCAGTTTCTCTTTTAATATGAAAATAGTATTTTTCTATATTTTGTGCGGGTAAGGTTTAAAGTGAAATGTAAAAAGCACTTTTCCAGTGTAGCTTCATGCACTGAGTTACAACGTGTGTGTTTCAGGGTGGTGCTGCTGCTCGCACTACATCTCTGTGTTACCACTCCTGTGCCTCCAGGTAAGAGCAGTTTAGAAACAGTGAGTGGTGACAGAAAGACAAAATACCAGTTTCATAATATAAAACAGGGACAAGTGAAGCCCAGTTAACTCTGGGCTCCTTCAGGAGGCTCCTTCCAGACAAAGCAGAGGATATTCCTTATACAAGTTTTGCTTCCACTTCATATTCCCTTCCCATGTGCACTTTTGTTACTGCTCCTATCTGAAATTATACTATACACAGGCATTATTTGGGGGCCATTGAACTACCTGTAAAAACAAACAATCATAATGATTGTATAATTATTAAAAATGATTGTTGATTAAAGTACTAAATTGCATTTTATTAGCAGTAACAAGGTCTTATTATCTAATTCATATGAATATTTTTACAATGTCAATAAAATGATATGGGAATGTTGTTATGATCAAGAACAGCCACCAAGTGGCTGTTGAGGTGAGGTTGTTTTATGTTTTTACTACAGTTTGCTTGGAGTCATTATTAAAGTATTGATATCATGTCATTATATTACAACTCCCCTATGTCAACCTAATATCTTCCTGAGCCTTACTACATGTATTTTTCAGTGTAATTAAGGTGGCCCAGAGTAGCTGAAACATTTTTCATTATATGTTTATATTAATGTTTCCAGGAGTGTTTCAGACCAGGTGCCTCGAGCGTCACTTCTGGCTTTCTGTTAAATCCACTTTCCTTGGCTCGATGACCCGTTTTGACTTCGAAGGTACAGCCACTGTCTTAAGTTTCATTCAAAAGAGGAGGATGTGTGGGATTAAAGACAAACCTGTTGATGACTTTTCACTGTAAACCACCAGACCAGCATGGACTCCACTTCCTGTCCCATCACGAGGCCGCACTCTGTGGTTACACCCTCCTAGTCAACCATGATGGAGACCTGGTGCTTCGCGCCTCCTTCCTGGCTTGTCATGTCCACACCCAGGTAGACACAGCTAACATGCTGTGCATTGACACATTGTAGGATTGTCCTTTAACAACACACCACTTCTGTGTGTCTCTCTGCAGACAGGGGCAGACTATCTCCTGCGTCTTCGGTTTGTAAACCTGCAGACAGAGGGAACAGTGACAGCGTACCCCTTCCAGCTCCACTGCTCTGTCCGAGGGAAGTGGAGCACCAGAGAGATTGTCTGTGAGGAAAACTACATGGAGGTGACATCATCACATCCATATAGATTCTCGTCATCACATCCATGTAGAGTCTTGGTACTTTTTCTTTCTTTAAGAATGCACACAGTGTGATTCAGATGAGTGTAAGCTTCAGTGCACGCCCATCGAAATTAATTGCACTGGATAATTTTTGCCTTTGTAGTACAACCTTTTCAGAAATATTCCCAGGCTGAGAGAAGCTTTGTTTTTCCCTTTCTAGGTGTCCATTCAGGAACCTGTTCTGCCTGCTAAATCCAACAATAAGAAGGTTAGTACATGCCCAGCCCAGACATTTAATTGTTTATAAAAGAAGGACTGTTGTTCAGATTCCTGTCTTCCCCTGAGCAGGAAGCAGAGGAGTCAGATGTGGCTGTGATGTTCCACAGAGCCGATTGGGCACCAGGGAAAGCGAGGGTCTTGTCCCAGACAGAGGCTGCTGCTCTGGGCTATCGCATCTCGCAGCACGGGTCACGTCTTACCCTCCGTTGTGCCTATTCCTCCCCTCTCTCATACTTCATTAAGGTACTCACAGACACCATGGCTCACCAGGGATTAGGCCTGCATCAGCCAGTTATTTAAAATCCTTACTTTTTAATGTCAGTGCTCTGGATGCTGTGTGTGTGGCTGTTGTTTTCAGGAGAAGGGAGCGGATTTAGAGGTTGTCAGAGCAGCCATCCTGTACCGACTCCAGGATGGTTTCCTACCTCTTGACGCCACTGTTGCCTGTGCTCTGAGTTAGTATGGTTTATCAGTATTATAGTGTTTGATAACTAAGTGAAATGTCTCAAATGTGTCTTTGCTCTGCCCTTTCTCACCCCCAGATGAGGCCACAGCAGATGTCTCTGACCTGCTGTGGACCGTCCCTTATATTCTCTCTCCTCTGGTTCACGGGCAGTTTAGGGACAGAGGCATATGGTTCGGAGTGAACAGCCAAGCTCTGACTCAGTCTCAGAACAGAGACAGAGGATACAGGGTTGGCCTGCAGGAGGGCTGGGTGGAGGTCAGGATTCCAGCAGGAGCCCAGGGTGCACACCTAAAGGTACACAAGCAGGACTTTATTTAGAGTATGAAATAACATAATAGAAATTCAGAAGACACAATTTAAAAGTGATGAACATTAAAATTAACTGTAGCTAGAGCACTTCCTTCTGTCAGCATGTCTGCTGTAATGTTTGCAGAGTGGAGTTGTGAGGGGACAGTACAGCTGGTCCACGTCAGTGGATCTGTTCTTCATGAGTCAGTGGGAGGACGACCGCTGGCCCCTCACTCAGCATCGCTCCTTCAGGCTCCTGAGCACTCCTCTCATCCCACAAACCCTGTTGTTCACCAACAGTAAGGAGTTTTGCTGCATCAGTTTTGTATGTGGTTTTGCATGTATTTGCAGTGTCATGATGCCAACATACCAATGCCAGAAAAAAAGCCTTTTTGAAGTTATTTCAACCATATCTCCAAGCCCTATTGTACAGTAGTAATAGAATTAGTACTCTGTCTAAAATGGCTCCAAAGGTGTCATTTCACAGAATACTTTTTAAAATTACACACAAATAATTGAATAGGCACCTTCATTTTCCAGTGTGCATCCCTCTTTCTCCCTCTGCAGCCACATCCCCATTCAAGGGGTTGTTTTCTGTCACCTTGGGCTTCTTTGCACCTGATGTCTCCCTCCAGAAGGTGGCAGTAGACGGCGGCGGTGACCTTTTAACCTGGACCCAAAGCCACCAAACACAGAGCGACACAGGCCTCGTGCTGTCCAGGGTCTCCCACCATAATGGGAGCTACTCCTACCAGCTTCATTTCCCCTTGTCACATCCAAAAATAATCCCTGAGGTGAGAGTCGCAAACACTGAGCAGCTTTATCACGTGTAGAAGCTCAAAAATGTCTGCAATTACCTGCCGTTTGATCCCAGTATATAGGTGGTGGCTATAAGACGTACAGCTTCATTTTCACCTTCACTCTGAACATCTCGCCCACTGGAGAGGTGTTTTATCATCAGTCCACCATAGAGCATAGTGTGGAGTACATAGGTGAGTGTTTTGAGTTTTACTGATGGTTTAGCATGTTTCAGTCCGGTGATATAGATTTAAATGTAACAATAATATAAGGTATATAGTTCTGGTTGCTGTAATCAAAACTAACAGAAAAGCACAGTGTTAATGTGTTCCCCCAAAATACAAAACATCTGAGCCTCACTACATGTGTTTCTGATGATTTCCCATCTGTCCTGGTGCAGCTCCGGGTTTGCCCACTCTGGAGGGGAAGTGCACAGAGAACAGCCTGCTGGTGCTGCTGCACCACGGGACCCAGGCCGAGCTGCAGTGGGAGCTCTTCATCGGCGCCCGCAAGCTGGACTGGGACCTGGTGGGGGTGGGGGAGTTCATGGTGGAGGCTGAGGAGGAATATTTGGCTGTGGAGATCCCTCTCCACAGCCCCCTGTTGAGCTACGAGGTGATCGGCTTTAACACCTCACATTATCTTCAGTGCTTATAAAAAGGTCGACAGCATTTGTGCTTGTTTACAGGCTAACTTAATGTTGCTGCTGTTAGTGTGAACATGCTTGCTTTCTGCAAACTTTTTTCCCATGCAGGAGCTGACACTGTGGGGTTTTGTTGCTGGGGTGGCGCTCTCTGTTGTGGATGCAGAGTCTCTGAAAGTACAGGACAGTCTTGTCCATAAATGCACCTTTCCTGCTAGAGAACTACTGGGTACGCAGCAGACGCCCAAGCTGGAAATCTGTTGTTGTATTAAACCACCACGTTGACAGTATGTTGTAGTTGTAGCTCACAGTGATCTTGATGCTCACTCTGCGTGTCTGACAGTGTGTCTGCCAGAAGGGAGGATGGTGGCAGTAGTGGACACCACCCACACTATCCCATACACACACCCCAACCGAACCACTCTATCAGACCCCAGCTGTGTTCCCATGGAGACGGACGGCGCCAGAGCTCTGTTCAGCTTCAGCCTCAACTCCTGTGGGACGACCGTCACTGTGAGAGACTTTGATTCTTCAGAATCCACACAGGAACCATCGTTCTGGCCTTTGTTCTGATCTCCTCATTTCTCTTTAGACTGAGGGAAACTTCTTGGTTTATGAAAACCAGATCAGTTACAATCAAGATTTTCTGCCTTTGGATGATCCTGTTATACACAGAGATTCTCCATACAGGTGAGAAACGCACTGACCTCAATCTGTCTTTAAGAAAGTCACAAACTAGTGTTTATCCAAGTTTCATTTGTTTTAGACTTACAATCCAGTGTCGCTACCCTGCGAATAGTAGTAGTACCGTCGCTGTCCAACTTCCTGGGAGCTCATCTCTGCCAGTCAAACGCACAAACAGGGAAGCTGCAGACACAGGTGTGTGTGCGAGTGAGCATTGTACTGCAACTTACTTATAATAATAAAATCATTTTGATCTGCGTTTGATTTGTGTTGGTGTGAAAGTATGAAAATAACAAAAGTCTACCCCATTCAGGTGAAAGAAAATGGGGGGTGAATTTGAAGGGACATCAGGTTGTGAAACCTGATTTAAATTAACACTGCTAAATGTTCTACACAAATACTAAAATCTGCTTTATAATGAGATGAACTGGGAGGATCTTTCTCATTTTACATTAAAGATCATTTACTGTCATTTGTAAGAAAAAGGTTGTTTAACTTCTTGCTTTCTTTTTTTCTGGGGTTTTAGTGTAGATCCTGTGGACACTTGTCTCCATGCTGCCCCTGATGCTCTACATGTAGGTTTCTAAACACTGGACCTGTAAATTAAAGATGGAAATGAACACTGTTTTGTTCACTTTTTATTCGGGGTTTGTTCTGTTGTCTTTGTCTTCATTAAAGGTTGATAAACTCTGGTGTTTTCTACAGATGCTTTGCATCCACAACAATGATTTGTTCACACTTTAACGGATAAGGCCAGTCATTTTTAAACACTCCACATACAGAGACTAAAAACGATTTTACTCACAGTTAATGTCTATTAATCTGTCAGTCCTGGATTGTCAAGGGCCTGTGCACCAAATCTCTGGATATTCTTAATAAATATCAGGATCTTGTGTTTTGTAATGAAGAAATGTGTCACTAAGTGCAGAGCTGTGTTTCTCTGCATGGAGGTCTGTGGCATGGACTAATCCAGGACTGACAGGCATTAATCATGAATAGAGGCAAATCATTGTTGGATGGGGAGTGTTGAAAATACTGTCAGTATGGAAAATGACCCGCCTTATCCTTTAAGTATCACTACTGAAACTGAGGGAGATGTTTAGTTTTTCTGAAATCTTTTTCTTGATCACCAGAGGCAATAATCAAGTTGTAATGCCGGTGGGAGGAAGGTGACCTCATGGCAAATGTAATCACATGCCAAAGCATAAGAAGCACAGGTGGAATTATTAACACTGATAAGGTCTGAGGTGTGTTTTGCTGTCCCCGGTCCAGGGCTCTATGTTGGTTTACTGTCATGGTTTAATGGGAATGAGCCATAATTAACACTATTTGTTTCATCTGTGCTCAAACTGGCTCCGTGACCAACCAGAGGCTGTCAGGAGTTACATCCACATGTGTAGCTCATTAGCAGCTAAACTGCACCTGATGAGGTTCCTGCTGCCCTCACAGACATATAAAAGCCACTGAAGGCGACAATGCTGCATGCTGTGTGTTTAGTCAGGGTACACCAAGCTAGTGGTTTTCTTAGACTTGTGTTGGTCAGTAGGTGTAGTTTGCTAGCAGCCAGGCTAGCTTTAGACACTGCCAGCACATCAGTGGCTATGGCTCTTTGGTTTGTCCTTGGGTATGTTTTACTGGTAATCTGGGTTATGTGCAACTTGTGCTGACATTTTTGCATTGCATGCAAGTGACATGTTTTTGTTTCACAGCGTGGCCTTACTCCTGCCTCTGTCACCTGCAGCATGTGATCACATCCCTGATGGTAATTAAACTTTCAGTTTATGGTAACTAGTAGGTGGCTATTTAGCTCTGAACTTATTTGTGCATACAGGACTTGTTCAGATGGCGTGTCACGATCGCTACTTCATGATGGCTGTCAATTTCTCCTTTGGTGAGGAGGAACCTCGCTTTAATGCTGTTGGTAAGTCTTATAATTCCAGTAAGTACCAACCCTTCAATCAATTGAGCCTAGTAGAAGTGAGATTCCTTGTCTGACTTGATGACTTGTTTCAGCTTAATGAGTTAATTTTACACTTCTGTTCCAGATGGGATGGGTGTGTACCCCATTACTAAGCAATATGCAGCAAGGTGTGGCTATAGTGTTCTCACTGTTCCTGGCCAAGTGGAGCTCCGAGCTTCCTACTTCAGCTGTCACACTGATAACAAGGTGTGTACAGCCATACAAAACCAACATTTTAAGTCTGTGCAGCCTAAATGGATGGTTTTTTTAACCCTATATTCTGCTGGGTTTGTCAGGATCAAGTGTTCACATTCAGTTTCAACTTGACTGTGACACATGAAGGACGAGAGGTTGCATATGCCTTGAACAAGACCTGTTCTCCCTCTCTTCCCTGGTCTCCCAGAGAGGTCACCTGTGAGATCAACTACATAGAAGTAAGTTTGGTTATACTAGTTTTACTCCTGGATTCTTTTCATGTATTAAATGGCTTTCTTCCTCCCAGGTGTCAGTGAGTGTTGGTGACACCTGTCCAGCTATGACGCAGAGTGCTGACTGGAACGCCCTCAGTACGGTGCGTCTCTAATCACTGTTTAAATGATTTTCTCATTTGTGCAGTTAAATACCACTCTTGTATAGACCTTATAATTATCTCCAGGCACGTAGCTCCACCCCGTCAGACTGGCAGGTGATGTTTTACACTGCAAAGGTGCAGTTGCCTCCCATGAACCTCTCTGAAGCTTGTAAGCAGGGTTATGTGTTTGAACTGACCAATGGAAGGCTTGTGTTTCGGACACCGTATGGACAACCTGACTCATTCAGCACTGAGGTAAACTGATAAATTTTTCAGTTTGTCCATAACACTCAAAGCCTGGCTTAGTACAGGTGCTTGAGTTTTTTTTTTTAGTTCAATCCAGAGCTTTCAGTTGCATGTCTTCCAGGTGAATGGTGTTCCAGTAGAGGTGGTCCATGCAACTTTGTTCTCAAGACACAGCTGGGTTGTGTTTATGGTGGAGCTGGTGGCTGCATGCTCAATGTGTAAGTGTTAATCTTCTATGCTGTCGTTGTGGTTTTTTCCTTCCACTTTACAAATTGAAGCTGTAACATGCCAACAGCTGAAGGATCACATGATGGTGGACATGTGATTTGGGAGACTCCAGAGGCGCTGTACCCCAGTCTGAACAGCACACAGATTAAGGTTGGATTCGGTAGTGAACTCATGGAGCTGCAAATTGCAGAGGAAAGAGGCCTTGCTGTGTCACAGCACAATGCCACAATCCAGCTCCACATTCCTTATAATGTGGAAGGGGGATACAGGAAGGTCAGAAAGCATGGACATGTAGAAATGTCTTTGTGGTTTCCCTGTAAACTTTCTTTACACACTGCATGTGTCTCTTGCAGATCTTTGTGAACAGTGACCTCTACGAGTATTATATTTTTAATCTCTACTTTGAACAAATCTCAGTGGATGAGAATCACCTTGAGACCAGACTCCGGTATCGCAGGGTACTCCACACTCCCCTGCTGCCACATCCTCTCTTTATAAATGACAGAACGGTTCATGGGGACTGGATGTTCAGCGTCTACCTCGGAGACGTCCCTGAGGATGTTGAACTGGCTGCTCTACAGCTGAATGGACATGAAATGACTTTGTCACAAAGCAATGCAAGCACAATAACAAAAGTTGGTTACACCAACAAAACTTCTGGCTTCATTCTGAATGTATCTTTTGATGATCCTATTGTCTTACACCAGGTAAGGGGTCTCTGATGCAGGCTGGGGTCTACTCTACTGTCCACTTGATTTAACATGTGGTTTGTTTTTAGTATTCCAGTGCAGATGCAGTTTTTCAGTACAAGCTGGATATCAACTACACACTGATGGTTCTACCTGAGAATGAACCTTTTTATTACCTAACATCTGTAGCAGCACTGTTCTCAGATGTTTGTAAGTCAATAACACACTGATTCACTTGTCTGAATACTGAATAGAGCTAACACCTCGCACTGTGGTTACAGCTCCTCCAACCTTTCATGCCATCTGTTTTGAGTCTGGGATCAGCTTCAAACTAAACTACCAGCCTTTTCACTACCTGTGGGAAATCAGCATCGGCTCAGATCTGCTGACACCAGAGCTGGCAGCCCATCGTGGCTACATAATGAGTAACGATAGCAAGACACTGCTGCTCAATGTGTCACTGTTTACCCCTGGGTATACATACAAGGTAAGTGACTTATTGGCCACATCATCTTCTAAAATGGACAGCAGTGACTAAGCTGCCTGCATCTTGCAGGACATTACGCTGAATGGATTCCTTGGCACTTTTGAGATCCTCATGCGAGAGCGCAAAACACTGGAAGTGCAGGGTTCAACAATCAAGACTTGTCCATTCTCCCCTATGGAGTTCATTGGTGAGAACAGTTGTGACTATAGGTGCTTTTGGGGAGTTTGATACTGGTGACTTGAAATGCTTCTCTGTAGTGTGTTCAACTGATGGATGGATGACTGTGGTGGCCGACATGTCCCTGACCATCCCACAAGGAGGAATCCCTGCTCTGACCAACCTCATAGATACAGAGTGTGGACCAAAAGAGGCAGACAACACAAGGGCTCTCTTCTCATTTCCAATAAACGCCTGTGGATCTAGTATCAAGGTAGAACTGATGCAATTGAACTTTAACAATGTGACTTGAATCCAGCTTGTGCTAACAAACTGTCTGTTTTAGCTTGGCAAGGACAACGTGACCTATCAAAATGAGATTTTCTCAAAATACCCCGATGTGAATAAAGCAGCTGTTACTGACAGGTATGAATAATCACCCCTCATTTAACATGACTTGAAATGCAGTTCCCCAGCAGCTTGTGCTTGTCTTACAGGGTGCTAGTTCAGTGTATGTATCCACTGGCTGGCCTCCATCGCCTCTTCTCAGTCTACAGGTTTGAGTCTGAGACTGCCGGAGTTGGCAGCATCATTCACAAGACCCAGCCCACAGCAGGTAGAGTACTTTGTTTGCCTACTGGACCAGTTATTGCTCATCCTTGCTGGTTTCTGAGGATTCCTGCACTGTAGATTTGCAGAGCAACACAAAGCCTGCAACTGCACAAGAAGCCCAGCCTGCTGTCACAAGAGTATTTAAAGCCCCACGTGCTACCAGAAGACCACTTAAGGCCCTGCCTGCTAGAAAAGCCCTTGGTGAACCTGTGGCATTTCCTCCTGGTCACAATCCTACTGCTTACTACATCAGAGTTTCAGGGCTTCGACCATCATGGAAGGTGAGAACATGAACATTTAAAATTCAGACTAGACTTGTTCAACTCTCCTCATTTAAATTTCTCTTGCAGGAGCTGAAGGATTCTCCTGAGACTTGGATTTCTAGAAACTGAATTTAATAAAGCTGGTTTTTTTTCAAAGCTCTTTGTATGGATTTTCTTGGCATCTACACATGATGATGCAGAAACTGAGGGTGTTGGAACTTGAAGCCTGGTTTATATCTGAACACTGGGGAGGGTGGCTCCACTAACTACAGTATATTAGAATTGTGAACATCTATGCAAGCCTGGTAGTACTGGGAGGGGTGTTCACTGCTTTAATGTAGCTACTTTCAAAAGCCTGTTCTCAAACTGCTGGTTTTATGGCACATGTTTTGGAAAATCTTCAAGGGCCTGACAGCCATCCTAACTGCTGGAGATTTTAAGTTTTTCATGTTGCTGCTGTTTGGCAAATTCTCCATAATTGACTGAACTGAAAGACTTAAGTGGTGTGGAGAATGTATGTACTCCTACAGTGACAAAGCAACACAAGTAGCTAAAGAACACCATAGTTCTCTAAACCATAGATGCTCCATGACCTGGTGTTCTGCAGTATTGACTATCTTAACCCAAATTTAAGGGGCAGCTGGCCTATTACTGCTCATGTTGAATCCTTAAGCTAAAACAAGTTGTAATCTGCAATAAAGGTGAGGGGTCATTTTGGAGATTGCTGCTATACATTGCACACAGCTCATCTGTAGTAGTAGTAAATGGGCAGTTGTGTGCAGGCTACTGAATATATTACTCAAACAGCTGTTGTGTGGTGGCGCCTTTAAGGTTAAATGTGCCTATAAATTACACGTACGGATGCCGTTTGCTCCATTGTGGGTGAACGCAGACTTTAAGCAGTTTGCGTGGAGTAAACGTTTCCTAGTCAAATGAACGGGTGTCCTGAATCGGCCAGCAGGGGGCGCTACGTGTGACGCTTCTCCAGGTGGCTCGAAGCAAAAACTTTTTTTTGGACACCAATTTGATGCTTTCTATGTGAGGTTGCTGCTACATTTGACTGCTCTGGCTACAAAACCGAGCAGAAGAAAACCATGAAGAGCAGCGGAGGAAATGGACCCGTGAGTTTTCTATCACTTTCGTTTTCAGCGCCATACTGTAAAGACAAGTTGCCTACGGAGTAGTGGTGATTGTAAGCTCATGTTTAGCCCCAGAGATCCAGGCAGCCGGTCCTGCCCTCGTTCTCCACCAGGACCCTGCACCACCCGTCCTTCCTGCCTCTCTACATGGCCGCAGCCTCCGGCCAGCATCACAGGGCCTGTGAATACCCAAAAGGTGAGTCAGGTTTTCTTCCCCACATCTGTATCAAAGCTTCTCGCAGCTGTGCAGCCTCACTGACAACATCGTCCCCAGTCTACCCTGCCGTCCCGGCTGAGTTCTTCTACACTGACCCCACCATGGGCCCCGGGAGGAGGGTCCCCAACATAGTGAGTGATTTGACGGTGAGTGTGCACATAAACCCATGGATACAGTTTTATGGCCCCAAAATAATGGCATTTGGTCTCTGGCAAAATAAAGTCATGTTTTAGAAATTGTCAGCACATTTGGTTTGGTGCCAGTCGCAGCTTGATCAGTATATTTTGTGAAAACATCCAAATCCATTTGACAGTGTGTTGTGTGGACATGGCCAGACTTTCTGCAAGTGCATGCATCTAATTAGCATAAATCACCTCTGGGGCTCTAATAGATTCATTCCATTACACAGATTAAATCCTGATTGACTTGTTTTCTCATGCGTATTCTCAAGTTTAAAATTAAGAATTAAATCCAAACTCCTTGTGGATATCGTGTCTTGTCCCTTTGGTATAAATTGATCATAGATTAGACTGGTTTGTAATTTATTGATATGTATGTTGGGTGTGTAGTAGAAAAAGAACAGACTTTATGTTATTTACAAACATTCAGTTTTCTTTCGCTTTAATTAAGAGCTTTTCTACCATCATCAGGTGCTCGATTGGTTCCAGCTCAACACTCCGCCACCAGTTATGTCTGCCTGCTCAGCCCCACCGAACCGTCCAGACCTGTTCAGGTCTGGGCCACATCCCATTCGAAACCTGGGCAGTCCAACTTTGAGAATGCCCACTAACTGCCAGCCGAACCAGGCGGTGCTCCAGCTGACCCAGGAGGAGGACCAGGGCGTTACTAACCTCTTGACACTGCACTACCAAAGTGTTGAGCCCCGAACTGTTCCAGTAGAGCTCAACTCCAGCCTTGGTTACCAAACACCTACAGACTCCACTTCAGATGGGGAAGTACACAGACCTTTGTGTAGAGATGTGCAGCAGAGAGGAGGCTGGTCACATACCGAGCTGGAGGCAGCTAACACCCTTTTGAATCACTTCAGCCTAGTGGAGGAGAACCACATCTGCAGTCTAAACCACCATAAATCATCAGGAACACTTTCTGGTCCTCTGCCAGATCAGCACCATGAAGCTCCATCAGTAAGCACTGAGACCCAGCCTGAATGTGAAGCGTCACCTGCATTAGTAACTAGTCATTGTACCCAAAGTGACACTGGTTACATCAGCTTTAGAAGTGTCAGGGAGAACGGGGGACAAGGCCGGGGAGACTGTAGGTCTGCTGAGCACAGGACTGTCTACGGAGCTTTCTCAGGGTTGAGGGAACAGATGCTCTCAGATTTAGAGGAAGATGCTGTGCTCGTCCTCCTGAGCCTCTCTGACATGGGAACTTTGGATACTGTGCAGTGATTGTGTTAAACATGAGGGTCTTTTTGTCCCTGAGTGTTTTAAGGGGCTTTACTATGTGGAAACTACAAGCTGAGTGTTTTTAGTGCTTGTACCCTTTGTTTTTGGCTTGGGTTCCTCTGCCACAATGAGTCAAATATACCTCAAAAACCTTCTTTTTCAAGGATGACAGTTTATTTCCACTTGTTTGTATTGCACATGTACCTGGTTATCCAGTAATAATGATCCAAAGTTGAGTCCTTATAAACTGTAGCTAAAAGGTTTTTATTAAAAGCACTACTACAGTTTAAGACCCCCCCTCCACTTATTTACAGCCTATAGTAGAATTAAATGGTAAATGGTCTTATACTTGTATATCGCCTTTCTATGCTTTTTACAGCACACTCAAAGCGCTTTCACATTATTTGGCCATTCACCCATTCACACTCCCAAGCACTCACACACCGGTGACATCACCAGGAGCAACTGTTCAGTGTCTTGCTCAAGGACCCCTCGACATGTTGACTGGACAAGCCGGGAATCGAACCGCTAATCCTCCGGTTAGGAAATGACCCGCTCTACCTCCTGAGCCACAGTCCCCCAATTACAGTTTATCCAGAAATATTACCCCGTGCTCACTGACAAGCTGCAGAGGGCGCTACAGTATTATTCCACTGAAATGTACAGCTCAGCCTACATTTACATGCACTGTTAAAGCTGTAGAGCTTGACATGGGGTATGCTACAGTAGAGGTTGAGGCATGTAGTTCTGTGTTTTGAGTGTATTCAGCGCACTTTTTTTGTAGGTTTGTCCTCTGGTAAGATATAATCCTTTTAAACACTTGAATCTTCATTCGAGGTGTTTTTGTTTGTGTATTAAAAATGATGACACTGGACAGATGGTTTTCCTTGGAAGAATTTTTGCAGCAGGTCTGATAATTGCACAGTCTGGCTGAACAATGGCTAGAATGGTTGGCAAGGCATTCTGGCAGTGTGACCATGCACGAGTTGTTATTGCAGGGCTGCATGCTCACCAGTTGAGGTGCAATAAACAGCTGTAATGCTATAAGATGCTTATCTGTCAGTACATGAACACCACAGTGTCTGTGCCAGTAATTGTTGGTCCAAGTGCATGCACATGCATTCCAGTAAAAATGAGGTGATAATTGTAGTTTCCATGTGGTGTCTCGTGACATCACCCTTCTCCTTTTATCTTTCATTTCCTGTTTGCTAGAAACCGACCCCTCGGCAAAAAAAAAGTTCACTGGTCTCCATTTATTGAATGTAAAATCTGTGATCCATTGATCCTATTAAGTAGTGTGGACCTTGCTGTTGGCAACTAGGCGCGCAGCCTGAATGACTCTGTACCGCTCAAGGAGGTTTCGCCTCCTCACATGCTCGTTGGTGATCTCTATGGCGCTTGCTACAGGGAACCAGCCCTTCTGACCGTCAGACAGGCGGCTCCCTTCGTACCAGCCTGCGAAAAACAAGAGGAGGGGGAGGAAAGAGAACAGACAGGAAGATTGGAGGTTTCTGTATTCATGCAAGAAAGTCAAAGCAAATCAAACTGCTGAGGATCAGGGTGTATAAACAGGCAGTCAAAGGCAGGGATTAATGATATGAAATCCCATCAGTGCATTCTTTTCAATAGGAAACCTGTCTGTACCACATTTTACACCTTAGTCTGTGTAGATCCACAGATAACACTAAATACAGGCAAATGGAAAATTGAAGTGGTGCTTTGATTCAGGCAGAGATTGAGATTTCTGTTGTGCAGGTTCAGCTGTAGACATCTGTTCTGCACACCAGGACAAATGCAACAGTCTTTTACTAATCTTGTTTTATATTTAGAAGGCCAGCTCATCTCTGATAAATGAATAAACAACTCTGGTTGTCTGGGATTCCCCTCACGTTCTTACCCTCGTTGGTTTTACGGATGACGTTGACGATGTCTGTGGGTTCCAGGGAGAGCTCGTCCGCCTGCTGCGCAATGTACTGTTCCACACACTGCACCTGAGGGCAGTCTGACAAATGACACAAATACAGATGTGAAATTCATTTTACATTGAAAATAGATGCATCACTTTGTGTGTGCATGTTTGTGCTTCCTCACCCCAGTCCTCATAAATCACTTCGTCTTCCTCTGCGTCGGGGTTGGTGGGGTTAGGGAAAGCTGCCATCCACCTGTGCATGTTTGATCTGTTGACAGAAACAGTTTGCTTATAAAAGACAATGAGGTGTGGAGTCTGGGGGCACGGTGCATCTCTTGTGTTGTTACATGAAGCTTACACCACTACTCACTGGGAAGGTGCCTTGAGAAGTCTCTCCATCATGCGACCCTGGTGGTTTTCCAGCAGGGTGAGGTTGAAGCAGTGCTCATAGTGGCTGGCGCCGCTCCCGATTTCCTGCAGCGGCTGCACCTGCACCAGAGAGCGATGGGCATGGTCGAGAACCACAAAACGCTCCGTGCTGTTCAAGAAAAAGAGAGCTAAGTTGCCATTTCCAGGTCAATACTAACTTGTAGGGAACCTAAATAAAACAGTAACATTTGTCAGTTTGTTGAAATGATCAGGCTTTACTGGGAGGTGTATCTAATTAGCATCTGTTTAGCAGCAGTAGGAAATACTATTAAAACTACCAGTAATGCTGAAACTAACATTGTTATGCTTCATATGTTGTACGCATTTCTTTACTGCTGTCTGTGGCACCAGTGGCATACTGGGAATCTACTCTCTATCAGTTCCCGTGCAGCATGACTACTTGCTTGTCGGGTTTGGAAGCATTTCACTGGTTAGTCATGACTTCCTTTGTGGTGAGTGGTAATATTTGTCATTTTAAAGCACAATTACGATGGCATGTCAAAAGAGGAAGGTGACACATCTGCAATCTCACTCTTACAGCCTCAAAAGGAAGCAACAAACAAATAGTGAGTCCACAAACCGCCTCCACTCATTTATTGTTAATGTTAATGATAAACCATAATTTATGATCTTGACTGTAAAGTGCAATGTCCTGAGGCTGGTAAACAATATGAGCTTCCAGAATAACTTGGAGGTGAAAGCAGATTTATAGCTACTGTCTTCCAGCAAGTGTGGAGGGCACAGCACACTTGGTAAAAAACTAGGTGCGACACACACCAGGAACAGCTTGCTCATGTTTTATAGAACTGTAACAATAGAAGTTAAGTAGTTTCATAGATGTGTCAGTGTTTTGTCTTTGTCTGCCTTTGTCTTTAGTAGGGACGAAAGCATCATACAGTACATTGCCTTTTTTGGTCAAAGTCAAAATCGAAAACGTGCCATCTCTCAGCCCAGCTGTGTCATGCATTATCACTATGGCAATATCTTTGTTTCCGTATGTGTTCAGACGCTAACACCACTCAGGTCTGCCTCACCCCTTCTTGACAGTGATGATGAGCAGGTCGTTGAAAAGGAAGAGGTAGACGGGGCTGAACTTGGCCCTCATGTTGAAGAGAGTCCCTCCTTTGGACATTTCCTGCAGCTCTCCCTTCTTCTCCAGGTATCGATTCTGATTGATGATCGGGATGGCCTGATGTGGGCGGAAGCAAAGGAAGAAAAATTTGCCTGTTCATGTCCAAGTGACAAATTAAAAACCAGTACCGCGTTTATCTTTTCCTCAGTTTACCTTCAGTTTGTCAAACTCCAGTGTTTTAGAGATATGAATCAGTTCCTCCATCTGTTTCATCTTCCCCACCTGAGTGTTACACTCGTCAATGATCTGTGTGGGGAAATTAGGCAAAATTATGACATGAACACCTCAGTCAGGAGAGTTTCTTTTCCCCACTTAAGAACCTCACATTCCACTGTACAAAACTGGTTGTGTCTCACTGGAAGTATCACTCAAACTGTTCCATGTTTGAACAAGAGTCTCACACTGCCTTTGTCCTCAGTGACTTGCATGACTCACTGGCAATGTGGGACTCTTTAAAAAGGAAATCCCTGACTCAGACAGTGGCTAAAATTAAATTTCCAGAGGTATGAGAAGAACTTGAGAGTCAAATTAAATAGATTTGTAGGCAAACGTGAGGATGAAAAGCAAAACGGAGTGTTGACCTTCGACACTGAAGTCAGCGCCTTGGAGGCAGTCTCCTCCGCTTCCGTCCCTTCTTTTGTCCTCCTCAAGATGTTCTGCAATGACAAACAACAAATTCCTATTTTGACAATAGATGACCAGCATCAGCAGGATATGTTTCTTACATGTAAATGCAAACAAGGTTACAAGGTTGAGGCAAGGTGTGTCTGTGTGTTTGTTTATAGATTCAGTGGCGAGTGTGAGAGCACACTGGAACGAGGCCATTTCGCACTGAGTCAGTTATACACAGTTTGGAGCTTTTTTTAGACGATTCAGGAACATATTTAAAGCTTGCAAGAGCTAACTGCATTGTAGTAGGTGAAGAAAAAGACGGGCATTATTCTTTAAGCTGGTGCCAGAAGGCGATCAGTGGGGAAAGCTAGGCTCACTCTGTCTAAAGCTCACTCATTTATTCAATACAAGAAGAGAAGCTAAAAAATGTCTGTGTCAGCTTTTAGTTTGCATTCCCATAATGCTGTTCACCTCAACGAGCATTTTGATGCGTGTTATTCGCTGGAAGGGCAGCAGCAAAAAGGACACGAAGGGTAGCCGATGGCAGTGCGGCGACTCCTGCAGGCGAGTGATGACTGCTGCGAACTGCACATTGTTTTTCCTGTAGACGCACATAAATGCACATGCAAAAGTGAATGGCACGTAATGCAGCTGTGACATTTCTATGCATGTTGAAGAGAGAAAAGGAGGTTTCAGAAGATAATGCTTTAGTTTTACATGCTGTAAATCAGGGGTGGCCGGTTTTGGTCCTCGAGGGCCACTGCCCTGCTTGTTTTCATCTCTGCCCTACCCACTGCTGGTTACCTGGATCAGGTGTGTTCAGTGTTCAGGAGGATACCATCTTAGAGGAAGGATGAGTGAGGAAAGACAAAGTGAATTGGTATCTTCCAGCTTCTGACTGACTGACACACCTGAGTCCAGTAATCAGGGTAGGGATAGTTGGAAAACAAGCAGGGCAGTGGCCCTTGAGGACCGGGACTGGCCACCCTGCTATAGATAAAAATGAGATTCCTGGACTGGAAATCAGAGCTAAAATCTAAATCAAGTGAAAATGAATGGATGCATTCCTGGTAGTCCTGTGTCAGCTTGGTTTACACCCACAAATAAAATCTAAGAAAGCAGGCACTGATTCAGATGTTGCTCCTTACATGAGCCTGGTGAAAGTCTGCTCCTGGTAGATCTGGTTACGAACATAGTCGATGTAGGCGTGAAACTTGTGCTGGGCATGGTAGAAGATGATATCACAGATGTCAGAGAAGACTAGATCTTCAAATATGCGGTCCTCCAAGTCTTTTAAGAACCTGTGGAGTCATGTAGCAACCGTCTCATCAGTTCAGTCAAGGATTCATTACATCTTTGCAGTTCCTTTTCCTTTATTTCGTTTCAGTCCCTCCTTTGCCATTTCTCACCTCTCGCTGACTTCTTGGACTCTCAGGATGTTGGAGAACAGGGGTTTCCTGTCCCTGATGACCATCGTCTCCTCCAGCTCCTTGCTGTCCATGAAGTGCTCGGTCAGAACGCGCAGGGATCGAAGGTATGAAGTCTCTGATGTCAAAACCTCAAACATACTCTGCCAGAAAAAAAACACTAAAAATAATTATGTGTCCCATTTTGCTGCTAAATGAGCAAAAAATTAAGCTAAAGAGAATCAACATGGTAAAAATCTTTTATTCATAAAGACCTGGAAAAAACAGGAATACAAGTAACTGGTAAGAAAATTAGAATGAAAGCATTATCTCATTTAACTACAGTTCATCTATTTCTGTAAGTGCACTGGCAACTTGACATACAGGTTCAAACAGGAACAGAAATAATATATATGAATATTATGTATTTATATATTGATTATTGTTAGAGACAAACATGGATGTCAGGCTCAAATCATAGCTGATGCAGCTATATACTGTGAGTTATTATTCCTAGAGCTGCAATGACAATGACTGACATTTAATCAGCAACCATGTTGATAACTGATTATCAGGTCATTGTTCAAGCAAACAAAGCAATAGAGGGTTCTGGCTCCTCAAATGTGAGAATTTACTGCTTTTTCTTGTCTTACACAGTAGTAAATTTAATATTTTGACACTTTGACACAAAACAGGCATTTGACGGCATCACTCGGGCTCAGGGCTAAACTGGCTTACAACTATCTGCAAGACTCTTGATGTCGTTAGATATAGCTTTTGGTCTGTTGACCCATTTTGGTTGTTGCTGCACAATCCAATGACAGTGACTGTAAAAGCTTTCATGAACTCCAGACAGGGTCAAGCAATATTTATTACAGCAGTGAGTGAAACAGAAAGGGAGAATGGACCATAATTTATGTAGAAACATCACATGATTACTTATAGATGCAATTTATAACTTGCCACTGCATCTCCCGTTTCTCTCCTGCCTGCCTCATTGATTTTTCTTTATGCAGTCTCTCCTCTGTACATTAGCCTCTCCCTCCGCCCCTCTCTTTAAATCTCTTACCTCCTGGTACTTGCGCTGCTCAGGGGTGAGCTGCTCCAGCACTCCGCTGTCTCGTACATTCGGGAGGTCCTGCCACAGGGTGCTCTGTGCAGGAGTGGGCACAGGGCTGCCCTTGCGTGGTTCGTTTCCAGTTGCAGTCCCAACTTCAGCACCAGACTGTTGGTGACGGCCAATATGGTCCATAGCATAGTCCACACTGGTCTTGCTGATGTTACGACAAACTGTCTGCCGTCGGATTTCCTTGGTGATGACAGAGGCGCGGTACGTCTGGTACAGAGGCTCTGAGGGGAAACAAGTCCAGGTGTATATTAGCAGAAAAATCCAGTACACAACCAGTACACAGGTTGTTTCCAGTACATGTTACCAGCTCCTCTTTGCTAATCACAAACATGATTCATCTTGCTTCTATGTGGAGCAGTGCATAGAAAACTGAAATGTACAGAGTCAGTCAGTATCACTACAGTATAAACTGAGCAGAATCGAATTGGGACAGTTCACATCTAGTGAAGAAAGCACTGAATTACAGGATAACATTATGGCTTGTTGTGAAAATAACCAGCCTGTGATGTTGTGTGGCTATCATACTAACACTGTATCCTCTTAAAATCATTACACTTTTTATGCTATTACAGGTGTTGTCCTTACCGTCCTGCAGGCGGGACTCCCAGCTGGACTCCTTCCTGATGCGCCTGAAACAGGAAGTGTGGAACGAGGAGAAAAGGATCAACCACATAAGGAACCAAACTGTTAGCAGCAAAAGAGTGACTGACAGGTATTTTTGCACCATACACACAAAAAACATGCTAATGTAAAGACTAATGACATTTTATATTTGTTGCTGTCAACAAAACAATGTGTTAGTCGTTAACTCACAGTTCCTCCACTGAGTTCTCCTCCTCTCCTTCATTCACTTCATTTTCCCTTCCTTCTAAAAAGACAAGTAAATGGAGTCATCAATGCTGGTTACACAGAGACAATTTGTGCATCTTTCATAGCATATCTCAGACAAACAAACCCTTTTTCTGTGGGAGGGACTGCAGTGAAGCATTGCTGAGCCGCCTGGGCTCTGTCTTTGGTGGTGGAGGTGGGAGTCTGTGAGGCAGGAGGTGGTTGGCTAGGGGTGGAGTGCTGGCTCGCTGGGGACTCAGCCCGCTGGCAGAGCAGCTGTTGGGGGATGAAGGTCGCAAAACGTGGCAATCCTCCAGGGTGGGCGGAAGGAGAGAAATGCCACCTCTGTGAACTGGCGTGAGGCTGCAGCCATCTTGAACCACAGGCCTCCTTGGTGGGATGGCAGGTGGCACGTGGGGTTTTGAGATGGGTTCACTGTCTGCCTGAAACTCGGATGTTGGGTCTGACAAGCTGTTGGACAGTTTAGACCTACGGGCTAGTTTACGCTCTCTGCTTAGAGGAATATCCAGTTCCTTACACACGGGTGTGACCTTTTGAGAAGTGGGGTCGATCACTGGAAGTGTGACCTCATAAATACTTTCTTCTTCTGTTGGTGTGGGTCTCGGTATTGGAGTTCTGGATCTGGGGGCAAGAGGGGGAGACTGAGAGCGAGCAAGACAGATTAAGACAGAGCGAGGGCATGGGTCTGAGCGTCTCCTCCGGTCCTCAGCGATCAAGACATCCAAATATGGGGGACACTTGGGTTTTTCTTGTTTCAACACTTCACTCTCCTCAACCACAGAAGTACTATCCACCTCATCCTGTCTTTCACTGTCCTCTTCCTCTGCTCGCTCTGCCTCCTCATGCTCATCCCCATCCTCCCCTCCCTCCTCCCTCTGCTCTTCCTCATCAGTCTCTTCCTCCTCTCCTTCACTGTATTCCACATCAATGGGCACCCATATTAGTTTCATGCCAGGTCGCTGGAGGTGGCACACACAGCTGCAGCTCGGGTCGCAGCAGGGACTTAAAGTTGTGTCCGGATTGTGTTCTGCCTCTGCTTCATCTCCTACAGTCAGCTGAATCTCCACCTCCTTCCCATCAGGTGCTGCATCAACAATAAGCACAGATTAACTGCTTGAAATGCTTAAAAAGGGGGACAAATGAATCACTGTAAATGTCGCTTCCATTTTAGTTCTTGCCTATGTTGCTACAGACAGAAACCTAAAGATCGCAGACTGAAACTGCTTGCTGACCACTTCTTTCCTAGATCTATAGGACATCTGCCTTTGATTAGGAGCCTTTTTTCCCATCTGCTTTTATCATGGCACACACTGGACAATGCAGAGCATAAGTGGTGTCTTCAAACATTCATGCAAAGTTTGGAGAGTTGTGAGGGAAAAATCCAATATTGACAAAAGGAAATGAAGAGATGGAGGAAAGAATTATGGTGAGGGTTAAATAGGTCAGTGGGTAAGCACGGATAAAGCTAAGAAGAAAGTAGCGGCGGTTTTTAAAAGTCAAACTTGGTGTCATTCTAAATTTATATAGATATTTTTACCATTATAGTTCATGTAGGAGAGAAAGCAGAGAGCTGGGGTGCAGGCTCCAAGTCTAAAACATTTAAGAAGAGTCCTTTAGTTTTCAGTGTTTCAACTAAACTTTCTTCATTGTGCAATAGTGCTACGGTTTTATGATCTTAAATACAGTTAAGTTGCTGCTGTTCTTTGTTTTATATCATTGCAAAAGGAGTATTTTTGATCTTGGACTGTTGGTCAGACAAAAAACTGAAGATGCTGCTGTGGGAAACTAGGACTGGCATTTTTTTTTTTTTTTTTTTTTACCATTTTCTGATATTTCAACAACCAACACAATAATGATCAATGTATTGATCTCAAGAATGAGATCCAGCTTAAATGCTTTCAGTTTCTGACAGGGAACCAAAAAAAGGAAGTAACTACACAACCAATACAACGTCACTTCTCTGGGTTCCTCTTTTGCTGTGTCAGGAAAAAATCTGAGGAATGTGTCAATGAGCTAGAGACTGAAACAAATCTTTGTATGTTTAATGTTTTACTTTATGTTACAATCACACCCCCACAGGGTGGTGAGGGTGCAAAGAAAAACGAACCCAGAGGACCGACTTCGGTGCAAACAGATTTAATAATGTGCTATACAGGAATACAAGTGCAGTGAAAAAGAACTATATGGCTGTGTAATCACCAAGCAACAACTGCAAAGCAATAAGTGATAATGGCTGTTAGTACTTGTGATTGATCTTTTCTTACTGCAAGCAAGAACAGCGGGCCTCCTGCAAGCACACCCGTGTTCTCTCTCTTTTACACACACAACTCTTTATGGACACAGGTGATCAGCTGACTGATAGAACTGGTTTAACGGCTGTTGACAGACCAACCAACAACACTGTTTGGAGAAAACACCCCTACCACACTAAAGACGTAACTGTGAAACCAATCACTGTACTCACTCATATGCAGGTGTCTTTAGGTGTATACATACATTTTTGCATCAAATACCAAATACTCAATAATATAAAGTAGTTTTTCTTGCAGTTTTATCGATGGGACTGGCACAAAAGGTATATGACAAGAACAATCAATAATATTAAAATATTAATATTTAAAAAAAAGAATGTATGGAAAAATATGCAGAAGTTAAATGGAAAAACAAAGATGAAAAAGCAGCAGATTAAACCAAAGATGAATAACAGTGGAAATCCACCGTACCTGATCGGTCTCCAGCCACACTGATGCTGTTCTCCTGATCGTCTTCCACCATGCTCTGCTTCTGCAGGATGCGGCTCCTCTTCACAGGCAGCGGCGGCGCCTGCTCCTGCCCTTGCTGCAGCTGCAGATGGGTTGGTTTGGGCTTTATTGTAGGCCGCTTTTTGAACTTTTTAGTTCGCGCAGGTGCAGGGGTACCATTGGTGGGTTGTTGCTCTGACTCCTGTTGGCTAAACTTACTCACGATGTGTTTGACTTTCCCTCCAGAGAGGCTCGTACTGCTGCCTCCATCTCCCGCAGGAAGGGAGCTGGCTTGTGTTGGCGGTTTTGGGGGAATCTCTGGCTTTGGTTTGGCCTCATGCTTGAGGGGTAAAGGTGATATTGAGCGCTCGTACAGGTCCTGGACAGACATGGTAGCTGGAGGTGGTCTTCTCTTACAGTGTGTTTCAGTCACCAGCCCTGACCAATCAGAGGTCAGGCTTTGAGGGCGAAGGACAATGTGAGCATGTCATTATCACCTGAGGAGTAAGAGAAAGAAAAAGAAAGTTTAAAAGTTGTGGTTATTAACTCTACACCACGAGATTTTTATCAGTTTCTTAGATGTAGTCTTCGCCCCCACCATCATGTGAGGAAGTTGGTCAAATTCCATGCAGCTCCAGAGCCACAAAAGGCTTTATATAACTTTCTTCACATGAGTGGCAAGAGCTTTAACCAGACTTTTGATGTGTAAAATCAGTTGAGTTCCCCTTTAACACACAAAAACCACCTAACTGGGGACATCCTGGGGCCTGCTTTTTCCAAACCTGAGGGTCAGAACTCTCACATGATAGATCTGAAGGATCAGAAGAAAATTAAAAAGATGAGAAAGAAAACATTTATATAATTCAGTTGCAGAAACTTTCTGGGATTTTCTTTATTAGACTGTGGCAGGGGAGAGAAAGAGAGATGGGGAATGACGTGCATTAAAGGATTCAATCTGTGGATGTTGCAAAAACCTTTAAACCCTTTAAAGGTTAATGGTTCTCAGTCTTTTTGTCTTCTGACCCCTTATAAAAGGGAACTCGTTGTAATTGCAGTGGTTTTCTATAGCTAACATAAACATTTACAACAAGGTGATAAACACACAGTTCTGTATTTCCAAATCAGACTTTGAGCCCTGTGCTGCAAATCCTCCACCGTGTGGGCTCAGAGGAAAGTGAACTTTGCAGATTAAGTGGCCCATTCCTTCCTGGTGATAACATATTCCCACAAATAAACTGAAACATAAAATGTAAAACCAGGTCAGTAGCTGAAGCTGACAAGTCTTCTTACTGCACAATGAGGTGACACAGTAATATTCTCTGACATCACTGTACAACTCCTTATATTCATTAGTGACTCACAGTTGAAAAGTGTGTTTAAGTTACTGCTTCAGTGGCTGCGATATGTCAACTGTGTCTAATAGCCAAACAGTAAGCATTAGGTTTCATAACACGCTGGTGCAATCAAATTAATAGTTAACCACAGTTTCAGTACAGTTGTACATGAATGCTCACCCCACCCTGACACGTCGTACCAGTTTTAGTGCCCAAGTGCTCAGACAAAGTTATCTCTCGAGTATGTGCACAATTTGTTGTTTGACAAGTGCTTTATTTAACGTTGAATTGTTTTCATTTATTTGGGACTTTTACACATCCACATTTTATAAAAGGTGTTGCTATTTTCAAACACAAAATCCACACTGATTCAAATCTGGACAGATTTCCATGACCAAGACGATCCAGAGATTCAAACGAGGCAGCTGAACGAAGCACAAATCATTTTTCAAAGTCTATAAAAAGAAACACGATGGTAATGAGGCGAAACTCGAATTCCATTTTGGGTGGCCAAATGGCCATGCTGCACATTTCTCTCATCTTGTGTTTTCATGTATGAGCCACAGCTGATGCCATAGCAAACCAAACAGGGTTAGTCAACTTCTGACTCATGCAGAAAACTGGGCGACACAGAACAAGGCGCTACTGCACTGCTTTGTGTCACTAATGCATAGATTTAGGATGTAGCTGCATGTGTTTACACACATCAGAAAGCAGCAGCAACAAATAATTTAATTAGGAATTCATGTATTGACTATACTGTAATTGATAATCAATCAATCATTCTTTTCAGCATTAAACAGAAAAGTGCAACCTAATATCAACACACCAAAATCAGCTTTACCAGCCAAGTATGATGAGTACACATACAAGGAATCTGACCTAGCTTTTTGTACCTTGTACTTGGACACAGCTCCAAGAAGAAGAAGAAAAAATATATCAAAATGCTCAGTGATGTAAACTTGTATGGTTTTTAAACGTTTAGTTTATGTACATGACTTAGGTGGTTATGTACAGTATGTGTGTGTACACACTGTAAAAAAAAAAATTGTAATATTCTGGTGGGGCACTAGAAATGCACCATAGAATTATGGGAAATACACACCTAAATATACAGTAATTTTCCATTACTTTAAATACTTATTTTTTCTTTTTAATTTTAAATTAAATCTTGTGTATTTAAAAGGTTTTTCATGTAAAAAAAAATGCTACTAACCTTTAAAAGCCCATAAATTTTATAAATGATAAAACATCATAAATATATGGACTGCAATTTAACCTTCATCATGGCTATTTTTTTACTGTTATAAAAAATATAAACCTAGAGTTATTCTAATATGCATTACAGACACACAGTAGGTTTTCTCCATGAATGGGTTTGTCAAACTAGAAAAGAAATGAGTAAATGAAGTTTTATCTCTCACCTAGTGCATGCTGGGAAGCCTGCTAGTTCAAATTATACTGAGGTAAACAGCAAATATTTTCTAAAAAATATTATGAAATTATAACTATTTTAAGTCTTTTTGTGTGAAAAAGGGAAATCTTTAAAATAGAGAGAGCTTTATAGTAATTCACAGCTACAGGATTTTTCCTTTATTTTTCACTGGCATGTAATTTCACAGTATATTTTTGTAATTTTATTACCAGTATGTTCACCAGTAAATTCATTATTTGTACAATAAACAGGAAATATGTAAAACTATGAGCTTTTTTTTTTACAGTGCAGGTCTTTACACAATATATATAGTATGATTAGATTTATATTTGACAGGGACGATTATGATGATGTGTCACAGACAGATTATGAGACACTGAGGTTTAAAGACATGGGTATTTATCGACTCTGGAAATATCAGACTTTGGAGGAGGCGACCGTGGTGTGGTGAGTAGAGCAGTCGTCTCCCAACCAGAAGGTTGAAGGTTTGAATCTTGGTACCTGCAGTCCACATGTCAAAGTGTCCTTGGGCAAGACACGGAACTCCCCCGTCGCCTGTGATGGTGGCGCGTATGCACACAGCCGCCCAGGGCCCTCAGCTCCAAACATAATTTCGTTGTACGTGTCACAATAAATAAAGCTTCTTCTTCTGTTGCTTTATGAAAGATTACCAGCCGCATGTTTCATTTTGAAGTGCCAGTAATTTCATATTAAGTCGTGGCCAGACAAGACAGCATTTTTAAGAAATGTAATCAAGAGCACTGCCTAATAACAACACATAAACAAAAGCATCACAGGCAGCAATCTACAGAAATGGGTTCCTGACTTGACAGAGTGTTTTCCACACAGACTGCTAAAGTTAATAGCACACAACCTCTAGCTGTTTGTTACTGAGAAAGCACGCCAGCTCGTCAGACTAGTTTGAAGTACCCATACATACTGCACATTCAGTTAGCCTATAATAAAGAGACAGACAGGGTTTCAGTCGGACTGGAATGTATAATTACAACATGTCAGTAGGAATGTAATAGCATCAAGAGGTTCATTCAAAACTAAAAACTACTGTATGTCCAGTTATTATCCTGCACCATCAACCTACATCCACGGATGGGCACAGGCCCAGAACCTCTGAATGAAGTGACTGTTAATGTTTCCTGTTGAAAAGTCAATAAAAACACTTGAAAAAGACATAAAACAACCATAAAATGACAAGTAGATGCAGTGTGACTGCAAAGAGATACAAAACAGCCACAAACTGATTACAAAGAGATAAACACAAACACTCATTACTTCAAATAAATGCACAACAACCACAGAGTAACAAAAATACTGCAAAGATACAAAATGACTACAAAAAGGTGGAGAATGACCAAGAATGATGCAAAATGACCACAAAGACTCCAGTCAACTATAGCGACACAAATCAAATGGAAATACATGCAAAACAACCACAAATAGTCACATAAATACTACAAAAGACACAAAATTAGTGCAAATAGACAAAACTATGTTGTTTGTACTCTTTTTGTGTCTCTTTAAGTCTGGGGTTAACACTCCCTTTCTCGGGAGTAGTTTCTTTTTCTTTTTTTTCTTAGGGCTGCTCAGGTTTCAGCTTGGCCTTCTGGTTATCATTGTTCACTGGGTGACAAAACCTCTAATAAGAGGGTGTGTTTGTTCACACAGCACTCCTCCAAACAGTGGGGATAACACTTTCTGATTGTGTGTGTTAATGCACCTACAGAAGAAATGAGGTTACATTCACCCCTGACTTTCTTTGAGTCAGCTGCCACTGGCCCTCATCTTTTGTCTCACTTTGCTCTGTTGACCTGGTTAGTTAAATAGCTGCATCTTCCAGTCTGCTGGACCCTGCAGGCCAGTCATTCACTCCACTATGTGTCCTGGTGAATCCAATACATATCCATTATGGTGTGATACAAAATCATACCAGAACAATCCTTAAGTGCTTGAAGAGGCCATCCATTAACACAGTGCTTTGTGTGTGTGTGTGTGTGTGTGTGTGTGTGTGTGTGTGTGTGTGTAGTATGCCATCTGCTCTGGAGACTAATGGGTCAGTGTCTATATGAAATGGGTAGGGGGGCTTTAAGAGAGATACTCTTGCCTGACTAGCATCAGCTAATACATGTGCTGTGTCTGTAAGCTCCACGCTGGACAGGAAGAGGGGACGGAAAAGGTGTGTCGGAAAGGAACGCGCACACATACACATTAGGGGTGGGAATGCAGGAAAAAATAAGGATATAGAGTAAGTTTGGTGACCTGAGCGGAACAGTAAAAGCTATCCCATAGATATGCAAATGGAAATATGTTGTTTAGGTCTTATACCACTGTGCAATAAAGAAATATTACAACTTTAAGACAACATTAAGCTGCCAACACTGGTCTAGCCTACTGTATTTCAATTTTAGTGATAACAAAACACATTCCAAAGGTGAATTATGTTTGATGGGCAAACTATTTATAAAATGTTCAAAATCAATGCTTGCCTATAATAGCCTTATTTTTATCCTTTAGTCACTTAATATATGAATTAATTAGTAGTCTTAACGTGCATTGATAAAATGGAAAATATTAAGTTGAAACAGCCTGTTGTACAGCATAAACTGCCCAGTAATACCAGGGTATACTAGGCTATAACAATGTAATTACAATCTTATAAACCGATTTACAGGCATTTCAACGGTTTTACATAGAGAAACAGGTGCTTACAGACTCAGCTCAATCAACCCGGACCTATTAAATTACCACTAATGAACTAATCTGACTTGTACCATAAATTATAAGAAAACTCACCAATCTTATTCAGACGTGTCTCTTCAGTCACCCGGCTCTAGTGATAGCAATCCAACATATCGTAGAACCAGAACGAAAGCTTTACTTTTATCTTAACTCATCCCGCGGAGAAAAAAACAGTCGTTAAATGTACTGTTAATAAAAAAATACCCACAATGTACAAACCAGTCGGTTCAGTTTCTTATTGTTTCTCTGACTGGCTTGTTGTCTGAGCACCTATCTTGCCCCTGTTGTCTCTTCTTTGTTACCAGCAGCATGAATGAGAGAAGACGAGAGGTAGAAGAACAGCAGCGCCCTGAGGCTAAAGCGTCACGAGCACACAACAGGAGAGGTTCCGGTGGAATTTCAAAATAAAACCCCTGTTTAAACCAGGTTTACGGGAAAATGTTTCAAATGTATTATGTTTAGAGTATTAAACATTAAATAGTAATGTGTTTAACATGTTTCAGTGAATAGCAGCTTTCTTCTGCCCAATAGTTTGACAAATTAAGGCTGTGGTTGATGAAAATACACACAAGCAACTATCCATTTAGCCCGTTTTATAATAGTAGCCTAGCTTTAACAATGAAAACAATTATTTTATCTATCATGTTGTCAGGCTGTTAAATACGTATGATATATAATGATAATTCCTGAAACATCATTTAATTTTCACGTTTTCAGGTCTGTGTGTTTTACCTGTCTGCAGACCAGATTTACCCTTGGGGACAATAAAACTAAAGTTCAGTTAAATGAAACTACTGACGTCGGTATTCCGACAACAGTACTTCAGATTATAAGTAGCTTATATGAGGTAGTTAAATGCGCCAAATGTTGGGTGAACATTCCTATGGAAGTCCAGTATTCATGATGTTACTTATTATTACTGAGCTCAGCAGTGTGATCAAAGCACTAGGCTAAAACCATTGCAATAATCAAAATTAAACATCCTATTACAGTGCTACAGTAAGTTTAATGCAAATTAAGGTATTCGGTTTACTCCTGTATAATAATGTAATCCCAATCGTTTGTTATTTGTAGTAATGTCTGTGCTTGTTTAAGATAAAAAATGACTACAAATAAAGAGAGAGAGCGAAGTTGCTGCTCAAAAGAAATAGTTAGGAAGCATTGATATTACATGACGAGCCTGTAACCCCAGCTTGTAAACGGATATCACATGTAGCCTGGTTATCCAACTTTTATTTTAGCCTAGAGGTGCTTGGCTGCTGTATACGTCCCTCCCTTCACCTCAGTGTTTTATATTGTACTTCCACCTAGCGCCTTAGTTTGGAATAAACATGAGGTTTTAATTGAGAACCTGGACTGTAAATGGCATATAGGTTTAATAGTTCTTACTGAAGCCTCTTTACATGTTTAAAAATGTTAAAAAGACAAACAACAAAGTAAATAACTATTTATTTTATTATGAGATCCGCCCTGAGATCCGCCCTGAGTACCTTAAGTCTCTGGATGTTGTTGGGCTGTCTTGGTTGACACGCCTCTGCAACGTCGCATGGCGGTCGAGGACAATGCCTCTGGACTGGCAGACCGGGGTGGTGGTCCCTCTTTTTA